ATGAGAATAAATTTCAGTTAGATTATTGAGATACCAGTTCTTGCATTCATTTCTTTTCCTGTGCGCTGCTGGGAGAGTCCAAGCATGAGTTAAACTCAGCCAATCTGCCAAGGACTGAATCGAAACTTTAGCCACGCCTCTGTTGTTGCTTGACTTCCAGTTTTGTCAATTCAGACAAAGCCCAGTGGACGTGTTTCAAGTTTCTCTCAGTCTTTCGGGCCTGGATAGGGATGCTGTTCGTCACTAGAAGGCCTTGGAGAAACAATTCAGCAAGGCCCAGCAACAGGCCCAGTCCTCCAGACAGACCCCTCCCAGGGATCCCTCGCCCGACACCCAGGCCAGTCACAAGCCTCCTATTTCTGAGAGTGAGGGGGGGGCAGGAGTTCTCCCCCAAGACCTCGCTAGCTATGGCAGGTTCCCCAGGCTCCCCAGGGCCCTCAATGGCTGACCATGCGGACCTTTTTGACTGCCCATCTGAGGGGAAGGAGGACCTAGCACCCCCAGGTCAACTGGCACCGCGACTCCCTCTGAATCAACCAACCACCAGGGACTGCCCTACAGAGGATCGGGGACCTGATCTCTCTGCTGAGATGCAGGACGTTATTGCCAGGGCCATCTCCCAGGGGATTGAGGCAGGGTTGTACAAGCAGGCTAAATGCCCACGCAAACCCCATTTCACTCCTGCCCCTGCTTCCCCCAGGGAAGCTCCACGGGCCCAGCGATCTCCCCCCCCCCATTCCTCGCTTGATAGTGAGGATTCTGCCTGGGAGGAGGACATTCTGCCCAACCCTGAGTCCGACTTCTCAGGGGATGAGGGTGTGTTTCCAATAAACCTGCCTTTACCGGTTTGTTTAAGAATACCAATTTCAAGACTATTTTGAATAAGGCAAAAGCCTCTACCCATTTGGGTTCTTCCGCCCCATGCTAGGCTGCCCCTGATTCCTCTAACCTCAGTGAGGGTTTGTTTGAGGAACCGGTTCAGGCACAGAAATTGTCCCCATTCCCAAATTATTCCTCAACGTAGTGCAGAAGCAATGGGCACAGCCAGGCACCCTTGCCACCCCCAGTGGTAGCGACAAGAAGCTGTACATGTGGATGCTAGTCTGGAGGATTTACTGACGTTATCCATGGTGGCTGCGCCCATTTCTTCCTCAGTACTAGGAAGGGCTCAAGGCAGAGGACAAGAGAGCAGAGAAGGCCTGCCATAAAACTCATCAGGCAGTGGCTTGGCCGATTAAGACGTCCGCCTCTGCGTCCTTTCTCTCCAGAGCCTTTCTCCTCTGGTTGAAACAGTTACTCACCAAACTTCTGGCGGGGGGATAGCAGGCTTAGGCAAGATGTCAATAAGATCATTGCAGCTACAGAATACATGGCTGATGCCACCTTGAACACTGCCAAGTTTGTATCTAGGGCCCTAGCTTCCAACATCACCACCCGGCGCCTCTTATGGCTTAGAAATATGGACATGAGGTCAAAGTGGAAGCTTGCTTCCACTTGTCCTTATTGAGAATAAGGATAAGAAGAAAATCATGCCCTCGGTCACCAAGAAATCTGAGCGTAGGGGTTCCAACTTCTATAGAAAACAACCCTTTTGGGCCGCTGAGCTGGCTTCCATCTCAGGATCCTTTCAGCGTCCCTACTCCCAGAGCGCTGACAGGTCACAGGACCGTCAGTCCTTTTGTGACAGAGGCCGCCAAAAGAACTTTTCCAAACGGCCCTTCTGCGGAGGGGTCTGGCTCCAGACTATTCTGATGGTGTAAGTGACCACCAGGGGATGGCTCCCATCTGAGGGCGTCTTCAGTTATTCCACGCCTAATGGGAGCGAACCACGTTGGACCAGTGGGTTCTGCAAACGATTCGCATAGGCCTGACACTAGAATTCATCTCACCTCCACCTTGTCACTTTATCCGGTGACCAACTCCCTCCTGCCTTGTCAAGAAGACTCTCATAGAACAGGAGATCCTTCATCTCAGGGAGATCAGGCCATAGAACCGATTCCACCCAGTCAGGAAGGGACAGGGTTTTATTCCATACTGTTCCTTGTCACAAAGAACTCGGGGAGGGGGAGTGTACTAGATTTAAAAAAAGCTAAACCATGACATAGCATATAAGAGGTTCAAGATGCAGTCCCTCCAGTCAATTTTGGGCATCAGGCCGGGAGATCTACTAACGTCAATAGATCTCAAAGAGGCATACCCCATCCGCAAGGCCCACTGCAGATTCTTGAGTTTCTTTTATGCGGGCAACCACTACTAGTACAGGACCCTGTCATCGGTCCCCAGAACGTTTACGAAGAGTCTCGCAGCGGTAGCGGCCTTCCTCAGATCTCGTCCAGTGCAGCTCCAATGCTACCTGGATGACATTCTCATCCCGTCGCCATCCCGCCAACATGCAACATAAGACTTACAGTATACAATGAGGATCCTCCAGGAACACGGATTCTCGGTCAACCTGGAAAAAAGTCATCTAGAGCTGACCACCAATCTGCAGCACCTCGGCACCATCATAGATATTGACGGTTGTCAAGTCTCCCTGTCTCCGGAACGGATGGCAAGCCTCAGGACCCTGGTGCAACAGGTACACCAATTGCGTCAAGCTTCGATTGTGCAATTGTCCTAGCTCTTAGGCAAGATGATATCCTGCCTGTCCATCATGCCTTGGGCAAGACTTCACTCTCGATGGCTGCAGTAGCATCTCTTACCGCATCAAGGGGCCAACCACAGCAACTTGCTAGTGTCGATTCTGGTCTCTCCTCAGGTGCGTTGCTCACTTGGGTGGTGGATGTCCCCTGCCCTGGCGAAGGGCACCTTCTTCAAGAAGCCAGACTGTCTGACCATCACGACGGACGCCAGCCTTTTCGGTTGGGGGGCTCACCTCCACAACCAAATAGCACAAGACTGGTGGTCAGTGACCGAGGTAACACCCAGCATCAACTGGCTATAGTCCAGAGCAGCGAGACTTGCCCTTCTCCACTTCCAGAACAGTATCCAGAGACATCATGTGATGATTTTCATGGACAATGTAGTGGCCAAGGCGCACAAACCGCCAGGGGGCACCTGCTTCAAGTCCCTGATGGCGGAGGCCAAATCCCTGGGAAGCTGGGCAGAATGACAAATGTGCTCGATTCATTGTCCCTTCTCCCCAGGGTGATTCGGAAGATCCTGTTGGAGGGTGCAGAGGATCTGCTCCCTTCTGGCCCAGGTGTCAATTTGTAAAGCGTTTCCATGACTATTATCAAATTTACATAAAAAAGAGAGAAAAGGGAGGAGAATGCCATGCATACCTTTGGCAAGAGTCAGGTCTCATATTTCTACAGCTAGCATGTGAAATGCACACATTCATAGCCTGCCGCAGCACCTTGTTGGTGGATGTGATTTATGACACAGACAGAAGGGAGGAGATACAGGGGTAAAGTTCAGATGCCTAGGATATACGATGCCACCTGGAAGTCCTTTGAAAAATGGTGCACAACATGCAGGGTGACAGCAACCGCGGCTACTGTTCCACAGGTTCTGGACTATTTACAGGATGGACTAGACCAGGGTCTGGCGCGTAACACACTCAGGTGTCAGGTGGCTGCCTTGTCCATGATCCTGGCACCTAACATTCATCCCTTGGGCACCATCCCATCATCCGTAGTTTCCTGTGGGGGCACCACCAACCTGAGATCTCAAGTTGTCCATCGTTACCCATCATGGGAACTTGAGGTTGTGTTATGGGCCCTGATAGGCCTGCTGTTTGAATCACTACAGTCCGCCAGTCTGAAACATCTGACATTTAAGACCATCTTCTTAATTTCCATCACTACCACGTGGCGAATCTCAGAGTTGGCATCCCTGTCAGTTTGGAAGGACTTGTGTCTGATACATTCTGACAGGGTGATCCTCCAACTGGATCTGGCATTTGTTCCCAAGATCAACTTCTGGTTCCACCTGGCCCAGGAGATCATCATCCCGGATTTCTGTTCTCATCCCAAGCATCCGAAGGAAAAAAGATGGCACACGATCGATGTTCGTAGAACTCTACATAAATACATCAAATGCATGGCAGCATACAGCCGATGCAAGTCACTCTTCGTGTCTTTTCAACCTGCATCCCAAGGCCATAAAGTTTCTTCATCTACTGCACACATGCATTGCCTTCGCTCACGTCCTTCAATCCAAGCTCGTGCCACGCCATATCACTACACATTCTAAGAGAAGCGCCGCCACCACCGTGGTCTGGGAGACCCAGGAACCAATAGAGGAGATTTGCAGTTTGTTCGGAACTACAAATTGGACAAGTTTTCACTTCTGCGGAGGAGGCGTTTGGGAGGCGAGACTTTCAGGGCATTCATACCAGCTTAGAGACCCTGAACTCAACAGCTTCCCGCCCTAGTGACACTTAGCTTGGGACCCTCCAAGCAGCACACAGGAAAATGACCATTGGCTTACCTGAGGGGTTGTTTTCTGTGCACTGGGGGAGAGTCCAGCCTCACCCACGGGTCTTTCTCCGCTATTCTGTACAGACCTTTTTTGGGGGAGATTTTTATGGACTTACTTGGTCAACCTTTCAATGCGCAACAGTCTACTCCTTGAAAAAACTGGAAGTCAAGGCAACACCAGAGGCATAGCTAAAGTAGTGCTGGGCAGTTTGGCTGAATTTAACCCATGCTTTCCCGCACTGCACAGAAAACAACCCTTCAGGTAAGCCAATGGTCATTTTCATCCTCTTACATGATTCCTGCCAAAAGCAGGTTCCTTCACTGTGTGAATGTTGCTGTGTGATAGAGCCAACTGTAGATCTTGTGCATAGTTGAAGGAATAGTTTGGATATTAAGAATGAGAAAACAGGCCACCATTCAGAAGAGATGCAAACTTTGATGCTTGCATGAATCTCTTGTGCTAATTTGTGTTCAACGTTTATTGCTAACCTGATCTGTGGAAACTTGGATTTTGTGATCTCTGAGTACAGTATTTTGATTAACCTGCATTCCTTATCTCTTCATTTGTGTCTCCAGGATCACCTCAGCATGAATCTACTTTTATGTCTTACATACCAGATGGCGATTACAAATACCCTGATTTGCCCATCTCAAGATACAAGGAAGAGGTTACCAATTTATTTTTAAATATAGCTAAAATTACAACTGTGTTAGGTCTTTCTTCCCCCCTGCCCCATCACTTTTCTTTGATTTCTTTTGATTTTGTCCATTAATGGTTTTTGTGATGCTGAATTAACTTTATTTTTCAGTCTTTCAAGCATGTCTGCATAAATATAAGTTTACATTTTATATAAATAAAATAAACATTCATTCAAACATTAGGTTAACTGGGTTTGTTATTCATCCTATTTTAATGGGAAATTCACTGCCTCAGAAGGTAACAAGTGCAGAGCCAAAGATGCTGATAAATATGCCACTTACTTTGCAGATTCAAAAGACATATGTGTCCTGAAATGTTTTTCTTCAGCAGCATTGATGTGACAGTGGTAATCTTTTCTTTAGTTTGAATAATGTTGTCACAGTTATTTACACTTCAATAATGTCTCAAAGAAATTATTCAGAAGCATGGAGTCTTATACTTGCCAGGCATTTGACTTAAACACAATTTTCCAGAGCATTCTGTCCTTGTTTGCTTGTTTTAATGGAAAATGAATTTAACAATACAGTAAACGATCTTCTGTTGATTGTACTCCAGCAATCTAAGGGATGCTTCATAAATTAAATATAAGTGAACTAAAGGAGTGTTGGTTAAAAAGGATTGGAGAATAAAAGGAAATTCATGTATAAACAAATGTTTTATGGAATATGGCTTAAAAGTATGGGTTAAAAAAAAAACAGTTAGTATTTAACAATATCTGGAGACTTGCTCTTAATGTAGATCTAGAGGAGAATATTTAGCAGTTGGATCAGCAAAAAAGGAGAAATGAATAATAATTTTTAGGGGTAGGCATCCAAATATGGTAGAAGTGGAGGAGGCTAAAAAGCGAGACAAAGCAGTTTTGGAAACTGTAAAGATACTCCCAAGAATTTTCTACAGAGAATATAGAAAAGAGACATCCTGAAAGAAAATGGCAAGGCATAAAAAAGAAGGCAGAACTGCAAAGATACTTTAAGATTTGGGTCTCTCATCCTTTTAATAACATTTTTTTTTAAATTTCAGATGCTTTCATTGATAGAAAACCACTCAGTGGTAATTGTACATGGATCTACGGGTAGTGGCAAAAGCACACAACTTCCACAGTATGTTTTGGATCACTGTGCGCAGCACTCAATTTATTGTAACATTGCAGTTACACAGCCCAGGAGAATTGGTGCCAGCAGCATTGCAAGATGGATTAGCAAGCAGAGATCATGGCCCTTGGGTGAACTTGTAGGATACCAGGTACAGAAGTGTGTTACTCCTCATCACATGATATCTCCAATGGAAATCACATGCAGGTTTTGCTTCCCCCTCCTTTTAAACTTCATTTACTGTGCTGTAAGAGACAGTTCATTTAATTTATTTCATAGCTTCTGGGCATACTAAAATTAGAAATGTTGAAAAGACAGTGGTCAAAATACAAAGTTGTATAAGTGGAACAGGAGTTTACTTTCCCATCGTTCCATCAGTAGCTTATTTATGTCCAAATTTGGTCTAAACAGTTATTAACTCTTGGGAGTGGGTCTTGAGATTGAAGGAGGAATGAGAAATTCAATCTGTATAGCCTTTTGGCCATTGAACCAACCACCTTGGTATTTTGGACGCAAGCTTATGGTTGAGGCTTCTTGGATTCCTTCCACTGATAAATCCTATCCTTGACTCAAAAGTATTTTTTATGGTCTATCATTAAGATCCTCCAGTTTGATGACTGAGCTCATATTTTTATATTTTCTTTGTAAATATGTATAGTTCTTCTGAATTTGTCTTTAATCAGACATTTAAAATGCTTCTGTTGGAGTGTTTTATTAATGCATTATGCATTGTTTTTTTTAAACTTCAAATTGTTATAATTTAATCTTGTTTTAAATTTTCATAAGATATTCTGGGAAATCTTCCTTTCATCTAAAGCAGGCCTATCAAACCCTTGGACTGCGGGCCGGATGTGTCACACGCTGACCACGCCTATGCCCAGTTTAGCAAAGGGTGGAAAATTCCCGATACGTTACAATACACCAATATGCACGATGACGCATGTTTGACACCCCTCATCTAAAGAGTAGAAGTCACTACCTTAAGCATCAAAATGTATTTGACTTTATGACACTGAAGTACATTACTACACACCATATACAAATAATTGGAATCCAGGCACAAATGTAAAAGACACATAGTGGCAGCAACTTAAACATGGATAATACCAGCTACAATGAGGGATAATGCAACATTAATGCTCTGGGATAATTTTAATTTTTTAAAGAAAATTGTATCACATGATAAGTTTTGTATCCTTTTATTTATTCTCAACCATTTGTGTGTGTAATGTCTTAAAGACCATGGAATTATTTTAGCAAGTGAGATTACAGTACTTGCTGCAACACATGCTGTTCATTCAAATAAATGTGCGGCTTCTATTTAATACTTCAATATTTTAAAATGTAGTGGTGAGTTTATCTCGGATATTTATAGTTTTCCTAATTATTTCTAAATAAATGCAACATGTGCTGTACCTTTACAACATTCCAGGTTGGTTTAGAAAAAGTTGCAACAAAGAACACGAAGCTGATTTATATGACAACTGGTGTCCTCCTGCAGAAAGTAGTTGGAGCCAAAAGTCTTTTGGAGTTCACCCATATCTTCATAGATGAAGTAAGATGGAGAAAAGTAGAACATCACTTTAGAACTGGCCTGTTTATTTTGAATACATCTGTTTCTTTGGATTATGCATATGTAAAATTATATTTAGTCTTGTTTTTATCACAGATACTTTCCATGGATGTCTTCATGAGACTTCTGTTAATGATATACAGTATAAAACATTTGCTTAAACAATAAAATCATTGATATATTAAGATCTATGGTGATTCTCAGTCATTCAGGTTATGGTTGTCCCAAAGGTGCTTTTTCAAAAGGCAACTGGACTTTCTTTGTTTTTCCTTGAAGGTGTTTCACTTCTCATCCAAGAACTGAAGAAGCTTCTTGCATGAAAACCAAAATGCCTTCAAGGAAAAAACAAAGTCCAGTTGCCTTTTGAAAAAGCACCTTTGGGACATTAATACCTTAGGAATAAGTTTCCATTTCTTTGGAATACTGGTAGCCCTCGAGTTAGGTTCATAGTTAGGACCAGAAGTGGCGCTAAGTGATGCATCACATTACTGCATATTCAGTCTTTAAGCAAATCACTGCAGCTGTGAAATGAATCGCACTGTCATTAGACAAATCTGACTTCCCCAGTGCTGCTTGTCAGAAGCCATCTGGGAAGGTTGCACATTGTGATCACATGACTGCAAGATGCTGCAACCGTCATAAATGCAACTAGTTGCCAAATGCTTAATTTGCGAGCATGTGACAGTGGAGACCATCATCATAATCATAACTGCAAGGGAAGGTTGTCATGTTTTTTCTTATATTTATTAATAATGTTGCATAGTATAAAAGACAAGTAAGTGAACCGGATCCAGCATTTCAACACAATTGTCATTGTAATATATAGGGCCAATTAAATTTGACTATGAGTAAGTTAGCTCGTCAAGGAGTGACTTATCTCAAGAACAAAGGACAGTCATCTTGTATAAGCCTACTCTGAAAAGTACTGTGCAGTGGCAAAGTTCTGTGATGCTGCAATGTACATAAGAAAAAAATTGACTACAGAAGTATAGTACCATCTTGTACCAATTATCTGGACATACCTCTAACAATCTTTGGACCATTATATTATTATTCACTTTTAATGTCAATACTTTTTAATTACATTTTAATGTTAGTATTTTTTTTTAATATAGTGTAAAAACTAATGTGTATTGCTGGTCTTTGACCGTAATAAAGATTTTACTTACTTTACTCTGAAAAGAAGAGTGTATAGCTGGGACAAAATTTATTTGATTTAATTGGAATTACATTAATATTTACTGTAATAAAATTAATATAATTACTCATCAATCATGTATGTTATAACCCCTACAAAAATTCAAACTTAAAATTGGATAACTGTTGCTAGAAGCTTTTAGGACCACATTCAAAGCTTTTAAAAATTGTACAATATTGTTGGGGCCTTAGGACATTCATGTCTGATTTAGCTCTTACGTTTATAACTCTCTCATTTAGGTCATTAACTGTATTTCAGCAAAGCTTTTTCACTGTGTACCTTCTTCTTTTATATAACTATTGAAAGCCTGCTGTTTGCTAATGGTTCATCTCAAAATCCATGTGCATCTTTAGTAAACTCATTTCAAGTTGGAGCTGTCTCATCTTTTAAAATAATGTTTTAGATACATGAGCGTACAGAAGACATGGATCTCTTGCTGTTGGTGATCCGTAAATTGCTGCGAACAAATTCACGATTTGTGAAGGTAACTGAGAATTTCCAGGATTACTCAATAATATAGTGATACTCTACCACAGCTGTGGGGAAAAGTTCCGAAGTTTCTGTTATTAATATTTACCAATAGGATATAGGAAGCTGTTTGTAGAAAGTTTTCATTGTTTTTGATCATGTACATACATTATTTTTCGCGTTTACAAAGCACAAATCAATCAATCAAATCACACCAATACTGGCAGTCCTTACTTAATAACTGATCATTTAGCAACTGTTCACGATTACTATGGAACACCCCCCCCCAAAAAAAAGACACAGGTAGTCCTTAACTTCAACAGTTCATTTAGTGACCAAGGTTACAATGGTACTGAAAAACATGATTTATGTCCATTTTTCACAATTAACAAGCTTTGTAGCATCCCCATGGTCATGTGATCAAAATTCAGATGCTTGGCGACTGCTGGTTCATACTTATGACCATTGCTGTATTCCAAGGTCATGTGGATAACCTTTTGCGACCTTCTGACAAGCAAAGTCAATGGGGAAGCCAGATTCACTTAACAACGGGATTACTAACTTGTCAACTCCAGTGATTCACTTAACAATTGTGACAAGGTCATAAAATGGGGTAAAACTCACTTAACAAATGCCTCCCTTAACAACAGAAATTTTGGGCTCAATTGTGGTTGTAAGTTAAGGACTATCTCTGTTGACCCCCCAAATTCAAAATTGTGATGTCACACACTCCTCGGTCACATGATTGCATTTGGGATGCTCTGCAATCAATCCACATTTATAGGTGTTTTGTGGTCAGATGACTATGATTTACAATATTTTTTGGGGGGCTGGAAATTAGCATTTACTTTTGATTTCTTGCAAAGAAGCACCCAAATGACCATTGTAAACAATGGATTAGCTTAGCAACCACAATGTCCATTTAATAATCATGGCATTTGCTTAATGACCGGCACAAAAAATAATGTAAACTCAGTTATGTGATCACCTGCTGAAGAACTGATGTGACATTCAACTGTAATTTCAGGCTCAATTACGGTCATAAGTCAAATAATACCTGTACCTTATTCTTAAAATGTTTGGCTTCAGCATTGCCCTATATTTAAGACAGTGAATAATCTTTAGCTTAAGATAAATTCTTCTCACTCCTGAATTTGTTTTCAGTCTTTTCTCCACTGCCATCTGCTACTAATGCTTAACTTGTTCCCCAGCTGATGAAAAGCTAAACTCAATCCTCTTAAATCTAAGAGTTGCAGTTAAGTTTATTCTGAAACAATTCCATTGTCCCAGTCCCCCTCCCCCAATATTGGGGGATCACTCTTCTCCTCTGGAGAGTTCAAAGGTCTGCATGACATTAATAAGGGGCCAGCCATGAAAGTTCAGAGTGCCTCTTGTGAGCATCCATCTTTAAACATTGGCTTCTGCCTTTAAAATGCTTGAAGGGATAACTCTGACATTAACAACTTTATGGCACTGAAAACTATGCAGAGTTTAGTGTGCTATATTGATGGCTGTAAAATTATTTTCTCTCAACTGTGAAAGAAATACAAGAGGATGCTGTTCACACTGTGTAGTGGTTCACAACAGACATTGACAGTTGACAACCCCAGGGATACAGGTGGGTGCGGATAAAAAAACGAAGTAGGCAGCTAAAAATATTGTCCTGCCTGAAACGGAAGTGTTGCATCTTAACAACTCACTCAGGTTTTAATCATCAGTCCTAAACTCAAAAATGTTTTATGACATTTTCCCATATATAAAATTGGAATTGATTTTAGACATATAAGAAAGTTTCTTCTTCTTCACATTAATGTGATATTTTCTCATATGTATCATTTTTAAATTGGAAAGATATGACTAAAATTGCACATTCTATTAAGGAAATTCTATTTTATGTGATGTTACTTGGATTATAAAGGCCAAATTGAAAGTGGGGGGGGAGTGTGCAGTCACAAGCCTGCATTTTTATATTTGCATATAAAATGAACAACTTCATTTTTGTATTTAGGAAGTTTGAGGAATGGACCAGATATGGATTTCTTTTTATTTATTTTATTTATTAAATTGATATTCCTACCACTGCTCCATTTACTTAAACATTTTCCTGCTTATATGTCCAAAGTTCGATTCTTTGGATAGATTCATGACTTCCCTAAGTCTTAATGTGATTTATTTAATCTTGCCTTGGCAAATTTCTTAAACCAGATTTGTGAATGGTAGATTATGATTTAATATAATAGATGAATGCAGCATCGCATGTGGCCTATTTCACAAATACCATTTATGCAATTTCTTTAAGTTTGTTAATAAAAAAGAACATTGCAGTTTTAAAATGAGAATTAGTGATTAGCAAATTGCATATCCAAACTTGGAATTGATCATTGTATGAAGCATTACAAATTTATCAAGCTAAATGGATTAGTAAAGATAGAAATACTGCAAATTTATAGTTTTGGAGTATATGTGTTTGTGTGTGTGTGTGTATGTATATATTTTTCGTAGATTTTCACAGGTGTAGGTATGCTGGTCTTGTTGTATTCGGGTCTTTTCCCTTGTAAGATTGAGATTGTTTTGGCAACGTTTTGGCGAGGTCTCGCTCGCCATCTTCAGGCTGGGTTTTGGGCTTAAAAGGCCCAAAACTTTAAACCCAAAACCCAGTCTGAAGATGGCGAGTGAGACCTCGCCAAAACGTTGCCAAAACAATCTCAATCTTACACAAGAAAAGACCCGAATACAACAAGACCAGCATGCATGCATGCATACATACATACACACAAACACACACACATGCACACACACACACACACACACACACACACACACCCCTCCGGATAATAAGCCCAATCGGGCTTTTGAGCACATGTGCTAAAATAAGCCCTCAGCTGAAAATGAGCCATCCCCAAAAATATTGTAATACAGCAGCAGTCATGAGGTGACCATGCTTGTCGCCTCCTGCACTTCAAAAAAATAAGACCTCCCCAAAAATAAGGCCAAGTGCTTATTTCGGGGATCAAAAGAAAATAAGACCCTGACTTATTTTCGGGGAAACATCGTATACAATCCAAAACAACTTAGGTCCTTGAAGTCAGTTTTGACTTCTGGTGAAATTTTTTTCAGAAGTGATTTGCCTTTGTTGTCTTCCTAGAATTGAGTATGATTAACTTGGCCCAATCTGGCTTTGTGTAAAGCAGAACTAGAACTAATGGTCCTCTAGTTTCTAGCCTGCTGCCTTAACAACCACACCAGACTGGCTCTCAAAATACTTGATGTCAAAAAACAAAACATCCTTATGTTCTGAATTATGTTCTACAATCTTTGCAGCAAAATCAATAGCGTATAGTACATGTCCATATACATCTCTAAACCACTCCAGGAAGTAAACTCAACATTTTCTAAAACACTGTGAGATATTGGAAAACTCAAATGATTCTAACTTTTTGAACAATCAAAATGTGTTGTTGCCTAGACTGACCTTCTAAAATATTGTTTTTAAGGTAATTCTGATGTCTGCAACTATTGACTGTCAAGAGTTTGCCAACTATTTTGCACTACCAGTTCGCAACAAATTGTATCCAGCCTACGTATTTCAAGTGGAAGGAAAACCTCATGTGATTGACAAATACTACTTGGATGATCTGAAACCTGTCCTTAGTCATATTAAGGTATGGAATAACCAACTTTGATTTATCTGTCATTGGATATCTAGAAGGAGGGGCCCTTCTGGTGCACGGCTTAGAATGCAGTATTGCAGGCAAACTCTGCCTATAGCCTGGAATTTGATCCTGACTGAGCTCAAGGTTAATTCAACTTTCCGTCCTTCTGAGGTTAGTAAAATGAGGATCTAGATTGTTGGAAGCAATATGCTGCCATTGTAAACCACCCAGAAAGTGCTGTAAAGCACCATGGAGTGGTCATTAAGTACTATTACTATTTCTATCTAAAATATTTAGGTAGCAGAGATGATTGAAATTGAGAATTTTCCCAATTAGTTTTGAAATTATCATTATTAGCGTATGGCTTTGTTACAGTAGCCAGGAGACTACAATGCAAGTGCAAAGTAATAGTTTGGCTTGTCAAGGTACCAGCCCTATTGTAGCACACACTTGCACCATTCCCAAGATGCTCCACAGGAGGGCGAACTGGTTTCACACCAATGAGAAAGATGAGGGCAGCATTACCCAAGGCCCCTTCCCAGAGCTGCCTTGCAATAGGCACAGTAATCAAGAAGGTTCAGAGCCGTCAGGAATCTGACTGCCTGCACAGAGCACCAACTAGTCCCCTCATCAAAATGTTACCTATTGATCCACTTGCATAAAACATGCTTTCTAATAGTTACAAGGGCAGAAGCTGAGGCAAGTGACAGGAGCTCACCCTGCCACACAGTGCTAGGTCTTGAATCATCGAAGCAAAGGCCATCTCAGTGTCATTAAGTCTCCGAGCCACTGCTCTTCCAGTTTAGAAATCATACTGGTTTTAAATCTAACGAGATTCCATGCTATCATTACCTGAGCACATACATTTGCTATGTGTCATGCACTGTTTCAACCAGGATTTCTTGAATAAATTATAGCCATTTAAGTTAAAGAAAGAAAAAAAAATCTGAATTCAATGAGCAAGATACACTGGTTACAAATCATAATGGCTAATATTTTTAAACTCTATTATAGGGGTTTATCTAGTATGATGCAGTTGAAATGGTGAATCATACCAGATAATTGATTAATAGTTATAAAAGTTATGTGTTAGGAATTACAGGGAATGGGAAATGAAGATGATTTACTCTATGCTCTAGGCAGAGAGAATAGGCTTGCAAAAACATTGAAAGAATAGAAACTCTTCGATAGGATTTTGTCAATTATGTGTCAGTTTCAGTGGATAGTGTCAGGAGGGAAGATTTAATAGTATTTGACATTTTTGAAAGATTGCTGGTGATGGGTTGACAACTGTAAAAATAACCAGGATGTTCACTGGATGACCTTTTGCTGTTGGGATAGATCTGTCAAATGTGCAGTTGCCTCAAGGGTAGATTAACTGGCATTCTTCAACCCCAGCATCCTCGTGAATGGGAGAGGAGTTATTTTGGATTCCTGGCTTACTTTTTCATTATGTGACTTTAATCCTTATAATGTTTTTTTTAAATCTGGCTGTGTATTTCTCCCCCCCCCCCCCAATCTGTTTCCTTAGTAGCCTTAATTCCTTAACTGAGGATGAAAACTAGGATGCTATAGATAATGGTTTGTTCTACAGCTCCAGTGCAGTTTTAAAGGAGGTTTGCTTGGAATAGAAGGCTTTGCATTTCAGCTTGTTTAAATGATGGTTGTCCAATTCTAAAATATAGAAATGAAGTCACAGTAGAACAGACAGAATGAATTCAAAAAACCTGGTTGATTACCGTATTTTTTGGAGTATAAGATACTCTGAAGTATAAGACGCACCTAGCTTGGGGAGGAAAACAAGGAAAAAATATCTCCCTCTGCCTCCCAGCAATTTCCCTCCTTGCAACAAACAGCAAACATTACAGACAATATACACGGTTGGTAGTATTACATTTTAGACTATACTTGTACAGATGCTGTTAAAATTGATGTGCTTTCTGGAAGTATAGTTATTCTCTTCTATTTAAAAGAAGATACAATAGTACTGGACCTCTGCAGATCAAGCATTCATTTTAAAAAGCTTCTTCATTTTGTTAAGCTGTCTGGAACAATAATAAAGCAGTCTTTTAAAAAATAAGTCTAAATTTGAACATTATATAGGCATTTATAGTTATTGACTTACCTCCTTGCAGCAAACAGCCTGATTAGCACAAGAAAAAAATATCTACCTCTGCCTCCCAGGATTTGTCTCATGAAGCAAAGAGCAAGTTTCACTTTCAATGTCTCCCGATCATCAGCTGTTTCAGGCTGCAGGGATTGCTATAGCCTATTGCAGCCTCCGCAAGCCCCTGTTTGCTGCAAGGAGATAAATTTCTGGGAGGCAGAGGCCAAAGGGTTGGGGCCAGTGGGTGGGTGGGTCTACATTCAGTGTATAACATGCACCTAAATGTTCACCCTCTTTTAGGGGGGGAAAAGGTGTGTCTTATACTCTGAAAAATATGGTATATAAATATGCTTAGAGCCTTTAGCCTAATATTGTATAAAGAACTGCAAACCAAGTTGTGTTGAGGATATGGTGCAGCAGAGCTAAAACAAGCTTTAAAGTAACATACACCTTTTAACTATGTCCTTTCTTCCAGCCAGCTCACTAGAGATGAAATATCCTTTCTCATGCCACCTTTCCTGGTTTATTTATGCAAAATAAACCCATTTGAGGCAAAAGCATATCACATGAAGGGGCTCTTAGAAATTATTCTGTACTCTTCTTCACCAATCTGGTATACAGGTAGTTCTCAATTTTCAACAGTTCATTTAGTGACTGTTCAAAGTTACCATGATACTGAAAAACATGAGTTTTATGACCGTTTTTCACACTTATGACTTTTGCAGCATCCACATGATCCTGTGATCAAAATTCAGATGCATGGCAACTGGCTCCTATTTATGAGCGTTGCTGTGTCCCAGGGTCATGTGATCACCTTTTGTGATCTTCTGACAAGCAAAGTCAATGGGGAAGCCAGATTCACTTAACAACCAGGTTACTAACTGATCAACTGCAGTGATTCACTTAAAAACTATGGCAAGAAAGGCCGTAAAATGGAGCAAAACTCACTTAACAAGTGACTCACTTAACCACAGAAATTTTGGGCTCAGTTGTGGTTGTAGGTTGAGGACTACCTGTATTCCGGATGAGAAAATATTAACAAATCAGTTGTAACATCTGTTCTCTGCCCTCAGTCAAATTCTCTCAAAGTCTTTGTTTGGTCTTTGCATATCTTGTTTCTGTTCCATTGCCTACCATGAAAGAATGGCTTATGTAGTGCAAGAATGCCAGTAATGACTTTACTCCCCTCTTTTTTTCTCCCTAGATTCCTCTTCAAATTATTGAGGAACCACTGATTCACCCAGTTATGTACAAAGCTGCTATTGCTCTAATACAGTGGTTTGATGAGCTGGAGACAAAGGAAAATGGGTAAGATGTTTTCTTCTTCATAATTTCTATGGACTGATTCTATTCAATAAGTCTTGGAACATTGCAGAATCTTGCAGAGAGTTGACAGATGTATACCTTGATTTTGTTTTAATGTATTGTTATTAGGCGTCAAGAAGAAAGATTGTACCTTAATTTCTTGATGGGTTGGTTATTTAAAGTAATATGTCCTTGGCTCAAGAACATTCTGTTTTGCTTTTTAATTACTTTAAAACAAAGACAAAATTTGTGGTTCTTAAAAATCAACATACCCTGCCTATACTTATTCTTGGAGACTGGCCCAGATTAGATCATTGCTACCTGTATGAAGGAGTTATCAGGTTTAATTTTTTGTGTGTGTTGTAGTATTAGAGTCTGTGATGGGGAAAAATCCTTGTTGACCTTGGCTGCCTCATGGTAGCATCATGAAGACATTATCAGTATTACTTGGACTTTGTAAGGCTATTATGGAAGTTGTAAATAATCCTGTTTTGAAATCATTTACTGATTTTGAGTATTTCTTTTCCTTTCCTTAAAGAGGAGGCATATTTGTCTCTCATCACCATAACTGGCATAATTATATATTATTGCTATTCTAAAATAGACATTGTCAACTCTAATTAAAACATGCAGGAGATATTAGTAAAAACATCACCAGGAGATGTCCCAATATTTGATTATATTCTGTTTTCTTATACTTTTTTTTCAGAGTTATGCAAACTTTTGCTCAGATTAATCAGTGTTTACATATTATATTTTTTAAAAATATGTTCAAAATATTCTCAGTAACAACTATATATGGGTGAGTTGCCAAGCAATCTTGAATAAGGAGGTTGCTTTGTTAGCTGTAGGCAAGATGCTTAATATGATTCCCTTTTGTAGACATGAAATGCTTGAAGGGAAAATGCTTGAAGGGAAATTATTCAGTTTATCTGGTTTTGATACATAAAAGTCAAATATGTATTCACAGTGCAAAATAGAGTAAAGCAATTTCATTTAATAAGTATTTTGAAGCTTGGGGTGTGTGTGCAGAAATGTAAACTACAATGTATATTTTTAATCAAGACTTTTTGTACTTTAAATTGTATACAAGTATAATTTTAAAAAAGACAAGTCTGGTACAGTGTTTTTTTTTTTTTAACTCATTACATTGCATTACAGCAAGAAAATAATTGATGGAAAATTTTTTGGACAGTTAATTATTCTGCATCATGAAAACACAAGATCTTTTTCAAATAATGCTATATGGCCATGATGGCGAACCTACGGCATACAGAGCCATATTCGGTGGAAGGCCAGCCGTCAGCTCCTGCGCACATGCGTGTGCTGGCCAGCTAATTTTTCACCCATCCGTTTCTGGCTTCCAGAAGGCCTCTGGGGGGACTGGGGGAGGCCGTTTCGTCCTCCCCAGGCTTCAGAAAAATCTCTGGAGCCTGGAAAGGCGTCATGTGCGCATGTGCATGGGTAGTGGTGTCAAGCACGCATGTGCAGGTGAGCAGGAAGATTGAGTGGGCTTGTGCGCGTGATAGCGTGCATGCGCACAATTTTGCCATGCCGTAAGAAAAAGGTTCACCATCACTGCTATAAGGCTTCCCTGAACCATCCTCCTCTCTCTGTTGTGTCTGACTTACCAAAGTCAAAATAAAATACTTACTACAACACCTTCAATTAATCCCAATACTTAAAATCTTGGTTTTTTTGTTGAGAGTCTCATTCATACAAGGAAACTATGAAAATGAACCAAATTTGGATTAAATGTGGTAATATAGAAAATAACCTCATGCTAAGTTAGACCATTTGTCCATTTAGGTAAATCTTATACTGTATTCTCACGTCTTCTATATGGGTGAGGCCACCTTTCTGTTCTAGATATCTTTGTTCTTGTGCAGCTCACAAAGATTCAGTTTGAGAAACTCGAGAAATATATTCGAAGAAGAAAAGATATTGTTCAGTGGTGTTAGCTTGATGGTGAAAGTTGCATGATTGCAGTAGGATACAAGTCCAATAAAATTCAAGGAAGGAGTTTGGAATTTTATTATAAGGCTCAAAATGCAATGCTGTTAATGTATTAGTTTGCTTCTTCTGGTAACTACAGGGGATTGCCATGTAAAACTCCCTAAAAAGTGCAAATTTGGCAAATTTTGAAGGAACCATCAATCTCTTGTTTTAAGAGGAAGGTCATAGATAAAAGAATACCTAACATGTATGCAGAACATTGCTTAGTTGGTAGCCTGTTAAAAAGATCAGGTTGCGTATTCTGAAATACAACATGGCAAGCCATTATAGAAAAAGCTCATTTAGATGTAAAAATAATCTGAGTTTATATAAGAGTTGTTCTATTCCTCAGGCAGGGATAAGCAATCAAATGTGCCTATGGATGACTCCCCACACTGCCGGCTTTTATTTTTAAAAATCGTTTTAATTTACAAAAATGTTAAATGAGATGTTGACATGCTGTAAAGCAAAATGCCAGCTTCTAATTTCATCATTATTTGCACAAATGTCTCTAGGCTCCACATAGTTATTTCTTTGAAACAGTGAGTAGATAAATCTCAGTATTGCTTTTTGGAAGCAAGACAGGATACCTTAATTACCTAGGAGGAAAAACGATTTAAAACAAATTGGGGTAGTAGGAGGGCATGTTGGGAAAGTAGAAGGGGAAAAAAACAAGTATGCAATGTATAGCATTTTGCTCTTAAGATACAGTTGATTGCACTTGGAATCAACTTCAAGGTCATCCAAGTTTTAAATGAGAATAAAATGCTATAGGATTGGATTGATGTTAACTATGGCAAGCATTTATGTCAGTGTTAGGGGAAAGCATATATGCATTTAGCTGAATATCATAAAGATATATAAGGTAATTCGTAAAGCACACTTGCACATGCCTATTTTGTTGATCTTATTGTTACATTCAGTGCATAACTATGTTGTAGCATATATAAAATATTATGACTTAAAACTGGTAGACTTAACTGCTCAAAACCTGGAGTCGCCTTCCAAAAATTGCTCCGACTTGTAGCTTTTGAAGTGAAAAGAGAAAAACACAGGAAGGATAAATCACACTGAATGCTTTTAATTAATCAAATTAAATTTAAATGTAATCAAATTTAGTTTTCAACATGAATTGTTCCATTCTTTTCATTATGCACCTTGGATGCTATTAAGGGCCTAAAATAGCTTTATGAGAATTTAAAGGTGAACAATTCACAAACTGCTTCTTCAGGTTGTGCCACATAAAATTCAGTAGAAAACTGGCTGATTTTCATTAGCGGGTGTGGGTATATATTCATTTACACACACACACACACACACACACACACACTCACACAATATAGCCTTCTAAATTTGGAGCATTTTACTCTTGAATTTTGGCAGGATAATTCAGGCTATTTTCTGGACAATAAGAAAAGAAGAGTTGGGAGGATTTTTAAAAATGGAAATTGTAATCCAATATATTGTCTTTCATAGTTTCCATTCCTAATCTTATTGTGATGGTCCATTTTAGCCAGTTCTGACTTCTGGTTACTCCAGAGCCAAGTTGTAAGTGTCTGGGCAATATTTTTTGAAAGTGGCTCACCCATCCATCTTCCATGCCTCCAGCAAAACTGGAATTCTTCCAACTTCAAATCCATCCCAACTACTCAGACAAACTAGCTTTTCCCCCCTATTTCTATCCTAATCTTAAAGGGACCAAAAGGAATTAAAATATTGCCCTCCCCTTCCTATTACATCATCCTGGTGATTCCATTTTTCCTCCACAAAGAGGAAGCACATTATGGTATACAGTGTTTTGCAGTATAACAGATATCAACACAACCTCATTAAAAATGCCGAGTTATATGATAAATCATAAATTATAACGATAACTCGCAAACAGCAAAAACATATCTGAGACAATCCAGCTCAACCTTTAAGCATCACTGTAGCACACATATCAACAAAACCTTTCCAAAGCATTTTAAACAAAATCAAAAACCCAATAACCAAGCAAAAACAAAAAGCAGAAGTCCTCTACAACATGTAATGTAAAGGGAGTAATAGTGACTATGTAGGACAAATGGAGCAGATTGACAGAATGCATCCGTGAACAACAACTGGCAGTCAAAATACTTTAAAATTCCTTAATCTCTCAACACATAGACAAATTCATTCAACCATTATTTAAGGGAAACTAATGTCATTTTAAGTTGTGCTAAATTCTAAGATATTGATTGAAATGCAAACATCATTGCAACTTGGATCACATCATTAACCTAGTTTGCTAAATTAATTACAATTAGATGTGTTCAAACAACAAACCCAGCCATCTCTTTTGCTTGGTTTTGACCTTTGCTCTGTTATAATAAGCAACAATAAATACTTATTAATAAATAAACAAGCAAACTGAGCACCAAGTATTCCACAGTAAAACAAAGTTAGAAATCACTAAGAATCCAACAATATTACTTCAGGCCCTTCGCCTAGGAAGGTTTTTCCTTTCCCATCCCTGATGTAAGAGAAAAGTATCACACTGCAAAAACTTGTTACATAGCTCCAGTTTATTTCAAATTAAATATTGCATAAGTGAATAATTATCTTTCAGCTTCCCTCTCTGTATATATTACCACAAACCTAGCTTTAAGTAAGTCTTTGTGAATAGATAGATCTGTTTACCCAGTTAACTCATATTTCCTAACCATGGCCATTTCCAGAATTCAATTTCCTGTATTCTCAGTAGTCTGGTTTGGGACTTCTGGGATTTGATGTCCACACATAAAAAAGCTGCTTGGGTTGGAAATGCGCTAGAAAAAGTGTGTGAGTCAGTCTTTAAGCATATATGTATTGATGGTCTTCAGAGGAAGTATTTGCTTTAATATAAACTAAAACAAAAACTGTGTTTTTAATATCAGGGATCGTAATTTGGAGTTTGTATCAGAACGTGGCAGTGTCCTAGTATTTTTACCAGGTAAGTTTTGTTTTGTATTATTTTTTAATATATAGAGTAGGAACTACAGTAGTTTTCTAACTCGGGGGGAAAATGTTAACCTTTTATTTTGGAAATTATGTCACCTGACTCCCAGAGACTCTGGGCAATGAACAAATTGTTTAACTATTTTAAAAAAAGGGAAACAAAACAAAAAGGAATACAGATGTCAGTTACGGCAAATCCAGATGAGAATAAAGAAAATGAAACAACCTAGAGAACTTAAACATAAATCTTCCCTGACTCCTGCTCCACCTGGGATCTCTACTGTCAACTAAGTACATTCTAAAAATCTGTTAGGGTTCCTGTCCCACTTGATTTTTGCATTTTAAAACCTCTTAATTAAAATACGGCCTCCTCCTTATTCCATCCGCCAGTCAGTGCCGACTGGCGACTACTCGGAGGAGAGCCTTCTCTGTTGCGGCTCCGACACTATGGAACAATCTCCCCGTGGAGATTCGTACCCTCACCACCGTCCAGGCCTTCCGCACAGCCCTCAAGAACTGGCTAACCCGTCAGGCCTGGGGATAATCTTATTTCGCCCCTCCCGAATGCTGAGTGAATGTTGAGTTTTATTGTCTAATTTACTTTGTGCACATTTCTTTTTTCGTATTGTCCTACACTCCCCTTCCTTTTTGATTGTAAGCCGCCCTGAGTCCCCTCAGGGAAAAGGGCGGCCTATAAATAAATAAAACAAAACAAACAATAAAACAAAACAAAAGGGTAGAAAGCTGGCATGAGATAAAATACCCAGCCTCTAATACCATCTTTACTTTTAAGTATGACTCACATAGGCCATAAAAGTTTTCTTAGTAAATGAAAATGAATGTAGCGACTACATTTATCTTCAGTGGCCATTGATGAGGGCACCCACCAGTCTGAAAAAGCTAGTCTCACCATTATTAGGTGAATATTTTTAAAGGAAAACTCATGGGAGATGCAAGTGATTGAAGGGGGTGGGGATATTTTGCATGCCATGTGCTCCATCTTTGGGGAAACTTATGGCTGAATTGAGACTTTCCTTAGATTAGGAGCCTGGCCTGATGATTTGCAATACTATAGCTTGAGTGCATTTTGGGGGGAGCAGTCCTTGCCTTTGGCAGGTACTATAAAGCTTGTGGATTGACCAGATCTAGGGAAAGTATCTGTCTTCGATCAGTACTTGGTCAATGATGCCTGACTGCCTTTTTCATGGAGGGACTCTAGGTTTGTGAATAATCAATTTGTGATATGTTTACTACCAGGCTTAATGGTAAACTGGAGGATGAAATGCCAATATCATTGTAACTTGGTTCACATATTTAATCTATTTTACTAAATTAATTACAATTAGCTGTGCTCAGACAACAATCCCAGACATCTCTTTTGCTTGGTTTTGATCTTTGCCTTGTTATAATAAGCTAGCATAATTACTTATTAATTAACTAATAATTACACGCCTAATAAGTATAATGACTAAAAATAAGAACATTAACCCATCATCTAAGCTGGAATCAGAGAGGCTAAGATAGCTATTTTCAACTGAAGAAACTTCCAAATTATTCTTTTTAATAATTTTACATTATTATTTTTTATTGAGAGGAAACAGCATCATTACTTTCTATTTTCTACTCTTTAGGCTTGGCGGAAATAACTTACTTGCTTGAGCTTCTCACAAACATGGTTCACAGGAGGTAAGTCCAATTTTTGCTGGGTGCCTTTTCTGTGGCAATAGGGTAAGGTTTAATGTGGTAGCACAGAATATCCCTGATAGTGTGTGGATATTTTTTTAAAAGGAGGAGGATTTTGAAATATACAAAGAGCATGAGAGGAAAAATGTGCTGTTGGTATGTTAATTCATCTCATTGCTACATGAGGTGGGATGCAAGAAATGGAAGCATTGTGGTCTTTTATCTGTTTGGGATCATATTCTTGATTAGAAGCCCCATTAAAGCATCAGATATGGGCCAAAGACCTGATGAATGGACTTTGAAATATTAAAGGACTATGTATTATATGATCCTTGGGTGTGCAAGCAACTCCATCATCTCCCACTCCTACATGAAATTGGCTTTACCAATTCCCCCCCACCCCCAATCATGCAACTCACAACTAGTTATTTGCAGACAACTTTGATCTGTTTTGTCCTTTTCCATGTGCTTAAGAGTTACAAATTTCCTACCCACTCCTGCCTGCCTTTTCTCCTTTTTGGTTTTCTCCATTTCTGTAGCTAACTGAAAGCTTTTTGCAAGGGTTCTCCATTTGTTTTACTTCTTATGCATAGCCCCTTTAAGCATAAAGAGTAAAATGGAGGGGAAGGAATTTTCAGTGTGAGGGATTGAAGTGCTGGAATGAGCTGGTTTCTCTCTTTGCCTGCATGGCTCAATGCAGCTTTCCTTCTGCTAGATGATTACATTATTTTTGTCCTCTTTAGATGAAATCAGACAATAGCACATTTGTTGACTGAGTTAATATATTGAGATGCCATCAATTTTTAACAATGTTTTAAAAAATAAACCACAATTAACTAGGTTCATACAACAGGTTACGTCATAAAACATGTATAAAGATGACTGAAACATAGGGAACAAGAGTGGTTGAAGTAGTGTCTTATTTCCAGTGTATATTTCTAAGGTATCTGTTGAAAATTTCAACTATGTCGTTTTGGACTCAGCCTGGGGGAAATGTACATCTTTCTACATGTTCTGTTGTACAATTTCTCAAATGAATTTTTTAGGTTACAAGTATATCCGCTTCACTCCAGTGTCACATTAGAAGAACAGAATAATGTGTTTTTGGCTCCAGTTCCTGGTTATCGAAAAGTGAGTTTTTAATTAGGGAATTAGTACTGTCATTTCTTTTTTTGAAGGCGGAAGGTGGGGTTGAGTAGGCAGCATTAGCTGACTTATGAATAAAAATGCTTACAGTAAAATATTGCTGAAGAAAAGGGTGAGATGAATTGATTAATGTATGGATGGCAAACAATTAATGAAACTCATTAAAATTTGATATTTTAATTCTGATCCCCCCCAAGTGCAAAATTACAATTTTACATTTTAAATACTATAGTTTTGTTGAATATGCTTAAGAAGAAATTAGTTATTTTTATTTGGGTTCCATTTAGATTTGGAGAAGCAGAATGTATAATTACATTTTGTAAGTCGCCGAGCATCACTGTGAGATGGACAGCATATAAATTTAATATTTATGTAAATAATATAATAGAATGACACATATCACTGTCTGTGATTGCATGAAATTATTGTAAATAAGATCAAGAATTAGATTTTTAAAATGTCTTAAATCTGATTTTAAAACCTCCTTGTAGATCCTTCTGTCTACAAATATAGCACAGAGCTCTGTAACAGTACCAGATGTCAAATATGGTAGGTATGTTTCTTATGGAAAAGAAATTTCTGCAATATTTTGTTTTTCTTTTATTCTGTAATCTGGCTTCAACAGTGATTAGAATCTTTAAACATCTTTGTTTAGGAGTATCCTCTGAAAATGATGTTTCTGTAAAGTGAAGGGTGCAGTTACTACAACTTTATTACAACCCTTCTCCCTTAGCAGCTTTTCAGAAAAGCACTGTTCTGTGTAAAAATCAAATTCTGTTAATGCCAATTTATACTTGTACAAAAAAGGGTGAAAAATGTTCGTACAACCAATTATTATTATTTTATGACTACTAACTCTTTGGATTAAATTAAATATAGCATTTTAATTTGTTTTGATTCATTTGTTTTTTCAAGCATCAAGGGCAATGCAGAAATTGGGTTTGTCTAGTCTAGTGAAAAGAAAACCTAGGGATGACAAGATAGCAGTGTTCCAATATTTGAGGGGCTGCCACAAAGAAGAGCGGTCAACCGATTTTCCAAAGCTCCAGAAGGCAAGACAAGAAACAATGGATCGAAAGTAATCAATAAAGAAGAAACCTAGAACTAAGAAGAGATTTCCTGACAGAATAATTAACTAGTTGAATGGCTTGCCTTCAGAAGTTTT